AAAAAACACCATTTGTGGTGGGAAAATGGGTGGTGCCTTAATTGGGGAGGAATTTTCCAATCTCTTTTTGTGCCTTTTTTCCCCATTTTTGACCTTTCTCCAAACGTCGCCACTTTTCAGTTCTTTCCTTTCTCCCCCTTTTCTCCCTTTTTCTCCACTTTTCCACCTTTTTCCCTTTTCCCTATTTTTCCCCTCATTCCTCCTTTTTCCTTACATTTTCTCTTTTTCCCCATTTCCCCCTTTTTCCCCTATTTTTGCCTTTTTCCCTCTTTTACCCCTTTTCCTCCTTCCCCTATTCCCCATCTTTCCCTTTCTCCCCCTTTTTCCCTTCTTTCCCACTTTTCCCCCTTTTTCCTTTTTTCCCCCCTTTAGAATTTTTTCTTCCATTTCCCCTCTTTTACCCCCATTTTCCCTTCCTTCACTTTTCCCCCTTTTTCCCCCTTTTGCCCTTTTCCCCCATCTTCTTTACCCCTTTTTTCTCTTTTCTCCTCTTCTGTTTTCCCTTTTTCCCCCTTTTCCCCTCTTTTCCCCCCTTTTTCCCCTTTTTTCCCTTTCCCCCTTTTTCCCTTTTTTCTCTTTTCTCCCTTTTCCCCTTTTTCCCTCTTTTCCCCCCTTTTTCCCCTTTTTTCCCTTTCCCCCTTTTTCCCTTTTTTCTCTTTTCTCCCTTTTCCCCTTTTTCCCTCTTTTCCCCCCTTTTTCCCTCTTTTTCTCCCTTTTTCCTTATTTTCACCTTTTTTCACCTTTTTTTCACATTCTTTTACTTTTTTCCCTTTTTTAACCACCCTTTTTCCCCCTTTTTTCCGCCTTTCTCCTCCTTTTCCCACCTTTTTTTCCCCTGTTCCCCCTCCCCCATGCACCTTTTTGGGGGTGAAATTGGACAAAATTGGTCCAGCCCTGTAGGGGAGAATCGGGCACCCCTGGTTGTGGCACAGAGGAGGGGGGTTTAGGGGGGTTCAGGGCAGTTTTGGGGTGTTCTGGTGCATTTTGGGGTATCAGGGCCATGCTTTGGGGTGGTTTGGGGCAGTTTTGGGGTTGTTTCCTGGTGTTTTAGGGCTGTGTTTTGGGGCAGCATTTCAGGGTATTTTGGGAGGTTGGGGGGGGGGTGTCAGGGCATCACAGCTGGTTTTGGGGGTATTTCAGAGCAGTTTTGGGGTGTTTCAGGGCTGTTTCAAGGTCACAATTTGGGGTGTTTCAAGGTGGCATTTTGGGGTGCTGTGACGGCGTTTTGGGGCATTTCAGCATGTTCCAGGGCAGCATTTTGGGGAGTTTTGAGGCATTTTGGGCATTGCAGAAGTGTTTTGGGGTGTTGGGCAATTGGGGGACGTTCTGGAGCATCACAGTGGCATTTTAGGGTATTTCTTTGGGGTATCAGGGCAGCTTTTTGAGGCATTTTAGGGTGTTTCTGGGCAATGTTTCAGGACAGCATTTTGGCGTCTTTCCCAGTGGCATTTTGGGGTGTTTTGGGGTGTCAGGGCAGTATTTTGGAGTGTTTGAGGGCTTTTTGGGGTGGTGGCTTTTGGGACAGCATTTTGAGATGTTTCGGGGTGTTCTGGGGCAGCATTTTGGGACATTATGGAGCATTTTGGGGCAGTGTTTCAGGAAAGCATTTTAAGGTATTTCTGGGTGTTCAGAGGTGGCATTTTGGGATGTTTTGGGGCACTTTAGGATATTTGGGTTTTTTTGGGGGGTGGTTTGGAGCATTTCAGGGTGGCATTTTGGAGCATTGTGGCTTTTGGGGCCATTTTTAGGTGTTTCAGGGTGGCATTTTGGGGCATTTCAGGGCATTTTGGAGCTTTGGGACCTTTAGAGGCATTTTGGGGTGTTGCAGAAGGACATTTTGGGACATTTTGGGGTATCCCAGGGCAGTGTTTTGAGGTGTTTTGGGGCCTTTCAGAGAGTCCTGGGGCTTTGGGGCAGTGCTTTAGGATGGCATTTTGGGGTGTTTCTGGGGCTTTGGGGGGGCATTTCAGAATGTTTTGGGGCATTTCAGGACATCATGGTGATGATTTGGGGTGGCATTTTGGAGCATTTCAGGGTGGTCTTTTGGGACATCTGGGGACATTTTGGGACATTGCAGTGACCTTTTTGGGGGTATTTTGATGGCAATGTTTGGGGGCATGTCAAATGCTGGGGCAGCATTTTGGGGTACTTTGGGGTATTTCAGGGCAGTATTTCATGACGATATTTTGAGAAGCTTTGGAGTCTTCTAGGGCATCATTTGGGGTCTTCTAGGGCAGCATTTGCGGTCTTCTAGGACATCATTTGGGGTGTTTCGGGATGTTTCAGGCATCTCAGTGGTGTTTTGGGATTTTGGGGGGCACATTTCAAGGTGTTCCAGGGCTGCATTTTGGGGTGTTTTGAGGCATTTTGGCATGCTGTTTTGGGACGGCTTTCTGGGAGGCAACATTTTGGGATCGCCGCTCACCACCCACCTACCTGCAGGGTCTGGGATGCTCTCACCGATGGCTTCGCCCCCCGGGGCTCCCCCCGGCCCTGGCGCTCCCCCAAACTCCCCTGTCCCTGCATGACCCCCTGGTGATGCTTGACAGCTGTCAATCAGCCCCAAGGCTCAGCGACCATCAGGACACTGCAAACTACCCAAAAATGGTATTTTTGGGGTGCCACAGCACCAACACAGTGGGTGTCCACATTTTAGGAGGAAAACACACTGAACCAGGCAAAATTAAGTGTTTGGTTTGGCAATCTGGTCTTTGCTAATTTGCCTCTACACCAGGGATGAGGTGGTGCATTTTTTGGGGTAGAAAATAGTGTTTTCTTCATTGTAGTGAGTTCATGCTGTGAATAGCTGCATTTGGGGTTGTGGGAGGGCTGCAAAGATACCCCAAAATCCACTGAATTTAACCCATTTGGATGTTACGCAACCTGATGCTAAAGGGGGAGGAGAAGGTAAATTTCTTGGGTTATTTTCTGCTAAAAAGGTGAAATAGCCTGTGAAAGGTGGTAAAAAAGAAGATGCCTCCCCATCCAACATCTCCATCCAACATCTCCATCCATCACCTCCCCATCCAGTGTTATCCTCCGACATCCCCCCATCTAATGTCCCCATCCAGTGTCTCCATCTGACCTCTTCCCCATTCCGCTTCACCATCCATCGTCTCCCCATCCAACATCCCCAGCATCTCCATCCAGCATCTCCAACACCTCACCATCCAATGTCACTGTCCAATATATTAATTAAAACATCTCTCCATCCATCTCCATCCAACGTACCTGTACTTCTCCCTGTCCAACTTCCCAGTCCAATGTCTCCATCCAACGACTCCCCATCCAACATCTCTATCCATCTCCTTGCAACACCTCCCCATCCAACGCTTCCCTGTCCATCATCTCCCTCTCCAACGTCTCCAGCATCCCCATCCAGCGTCCTTGTGCAAAGTCCCTATCCAAAGTCCCATCCAACATCCCTGTCCAACATTTCCCCATCCAACATCTCCATCTATCTCTATCCAGTGTCCCTGTCCAACATCCTTCCATCCAATGTTCCCATCCAATGTCTCCACCCAAGATCCCCATCCAGCGTCTCCACCCGATGCCCTCATCCAGTGTCTCCCCATCCAATGTCTCCCTGTCCAACGTCCCCATCCATGTCTCCATCCAATGTCTCCCCATGCAAACCCCCCCGTGCAGCATGCCCCCCTGAGCTGTGGTTCCCTGGTGGCTCTCCCTGTGCCAGGGCCGGGGCCATGTCTGTGTCCATGCTGGGGCCATGCCTGTGCCGGGCCGTGCCTGCGGTGCCACCAAGGCCGCCCAGCCTGTGTCTCCTGCAGCTCTGCGAGAAGGAGGAGGAGGAGGAGGAGCTCACTGAGAGGAGTGAGCAAGACTCGGGCATCAACGAGGAGCCGCTGCTGACAGCTGAGCAGGTACCCCTGGCACGTGGGCACCCGATTGCCTGCGTGTCCCCCAAAAGCCAGGCTTTAGCCCCCCAGCATGGCCTCAGCCCACCCCAGTGCCACGGCCATGTGCTGAAAGCGCAAAAAAAGGCCAAATACCATCATCTTGGGATGTGGGGTGCAGGGCGTGGGATGCAGACTCGGATGTAGACGGAGGTGCAGGTTGTGGGTGCCGTTGTGGGATTTGGGTGCAGATGGGAGCATGGGTGCGGGTGCCGGATGCAAATGGGTGGCATGGGATGAAGGATGAAAACATGGGGGGCAGAGGCGGGGTGCAGACGTGGGATGCAGGATGCAGGTGCCAGTTGCAGGGGGTGGATGCTGGATAGAGGGTGCAGATGCAGGTGCAAGTACAGGATCCAAGATGCAGGTGGAGGATGCGGGGTGAAGGGAGCAGGATGCACACATAGGTGCAGGGCGCAGATTTGGATGTGGATGCAGGTCCGGGGTGTGAGTACCCATGGGGGTGTGTGAATGTGGGATGTGGGATTTGGATGCAGATGGGAATGTGGGAGGCAGATGCAGGGTGCAGATTGAGGACGCAGGGTACAGATGGATGCAGGTGCAGGATGAAGGGAGCAGGTTGCAGATGGAGGACGAAGGGGAGGATGGAGGATGCGGGATGCCGATACAGATGGAGGATGCAGGTGCAGGATGAAGGGAGCAGGTTGCAGATGGTGGGTGCAGGACACGGATGCAGTGTGCAGGCGCAGATGCAGGATGTAGCTGTAGGCTGCAGGGTGTAGATGGAGGTAGGATGCAGGTGCAGATGGGGGACAGTGATGCCCTGCAGGTCATCGAGGAGCTGGAGGAGCTGATGCAGAGTTCGCCCGACCCTGAGGCTGACCCTGAGGGTGATGAGGACGAGGAGGAGGAAGAGGAGGAAACAGAGGCCGATGCTGAAGGCGAAGGTGGTGGCGGGGGCACGGAGCCCATCCTTCTGCGCGAGCTGCGTGCTTTCTCCCCTGCCTTGAACAACAACTGCTCCCACGAAGGTACGGCCAGCAAAATCCGGGCCAGTCACTTTTTGGGTGCAATTCCAACCAAATGGGACGATTGAGTCTCTCCAGGCTTCAGGGCTGGCTTGCTCCAGTGTTTACACGCTGTTTGGCCAGGAGGGGGCTCTTGGCAAAAAATTAAGCCCATGTGGGTCTTGCTTTTAGTATTGCTTTAAATGCACCTGGGGTTTCGCCAGGAGCGCCATGCGTTTTGCAAAATGCCTCGTGCATGGCCTGTTGCACTCAACACATTTTGCTAAATGTGTTGCGCCTCTCCCTAAAGCACTCGGCGTTTTGCAAAACGCACTGTGCCGTTCGTTAAAGGTACTGTGCCTTGCGCTGACGGTGTCGTGCACTGTCCTTTGTCCCTGCGCGCTGAGCCTTTTGCTACGCTTGCCATGCGTTTTGCAAAAATGCCTGGTGTGCTCTGCGTTTTGCTGTTTGCATCCCGCATTTCAGGAAATGCGCTCTCTTGCCAGCACCCTGCCTGTGACTGAATGCGCCGGGCGCTTCACTGAGCCGTGCGTGGTGCGTGTTCCTGACTGCACTGTGCATTTTGCTGCGTGTTTCACTCCCCTGAATGCACCAATTGCCACTGCATGCACTGTGCAGCAGGCATTCTCCTGATTGCACCATGCATTTTCCTAAATCCATGGAAAATATGGTGGTGCTTTTCACTAACCGCATTATGCGTTTCCCCAAGAGCACCATGCATGCTGCCAAGTGCGCCATGCGGCATGCATTTAACTGATTGCACAGTGCAGCATGCGGTGCATTTCTCTACATGCACTCTGCGTGCCACTAAATGCACCATACACTTTTCACTAACGGCATGGTGCATGTCACTAATGGCCCCAGGCATCTTGCTAATTGCTCTGCGCCTTCCCCTAATTGCGCAGTGCATTTTATTTGTTGCACCATGCATGTCACTGATTGCACCAGGCAATTCCGTAATTGCTCTGGGCATGTCATTTATGACGCCGGGCATTTCAGTAATTGCACGATGTATTTATTGATGGGCGGTTCAGTAAATGCGCCGTGCAGCTCATTAATCATGTGGAGAATTTTAACAGTTTCAGCGTGCGTTTCACTAATTGCACTGTGCATTTCACTGATTGCCCCGGGAATTTCACTAGATGTAGTGTGTGTTCACTTGCGCCATGCATGTCACTAATTGCACAGGCATGTCACTAATTCCCCTGGACATGCCAGTAATTTGCATTGTGCATATCACTAATTGCACTAGGCCCGTTACTAATTGCATCAGGTGTTTCACTCATGCAGTATGCATTCCGCTGATCGCTCCAGGCACGTCACTAATTATATCAGGCATCTTACTGATTGCACCAGGAATGACACTGACTGCACCAGACACGTCACTAATTGCACTGTGCATTTTACTAATTGCACTGGGCATGCCACTGATTGCACCGGGCATTTCCCTAGTCGCACTGTGCATTGCACTTACTGCGCTGGGCGTTTCACCAATTGCAGCGGGCAGCACGCTAATTGCCCCCGTTGTCTCTAATAATTGCAGTGTGCATCTCACTAATTATGTAATGCAATTTTGCAAACTTCAGTGTGCATTTCCCTAACTGTACTGTGCATGTCACTAGTTGCACCAGGCGTTTCATTTATTGCACCGTACATTTCACTAATTGCACCAGGCATCCCACTAATCGCCCCCAGCACCTTAATGATCGTGCTGTGTGTCTCGCTAGTTGCATAAGGCTTTTTGCAGACTTCACTGTGCATTACAGTAATTGCACTGGGCATCCCGCTAATTGCACCAGGCATTTCCCTAGTCTCAGCGTGCATTGCACTTACTGCACTGGTGCGTCACCAGTTGCACCGGGCAGCCCACTGACCACCCTGTGCATCTTAGTAATTGCAGCCCGCATCGCACTAATTGCACGAAGCATTTTGCAAACTTCAGAGTGCATTTTCCTAATCGCACCATGCACGTCAGTGATTGCACCGGGCTTTTGAGTAATTGCTCCAGACATGTCCCTAGTTGCACCAGGCATTTCATTTATTGCACTGTGCGTTGCACTTATTGCACCTGGCAGCCCACCAGTTGCACCACGCAGCCCAGTAATCGCCCCGTGCGTCTTAATAGTTGCAGTGTGCATCTCACTAATTTCATGAAGCATTTTGCAAACTTAAGCGTGCATTTCCCTAATTGCACCGGGCATTTCAGCAGTTGCTCCAGGCATGTCACTGGTTGCGCTGTGTATTTCACTAGCTGCACCAGACATTTTGTTTATTGCACTGTGCATTGCATGTATTGCACCGGGCATTTAATTTACTGTACTGTGCATTGCACTTGTTGCAACGGGCGTTTCTTTTAGTGCACTGTCCATTGCACGTGTTGCAACGGGCGTTTCATTTATTGCACTGTCCATTGCACATGTTGCACCAGGCATTTCATTTATTGCACTGTCCATTGCACTTATTGCACCGGGCGTTTCACCAATTGCACCGGGCAGCCCACTAATCGCCCCAGGCATCTTAATAATTGCACCATGCACATCTCTAACGGCACGGTGCATCTCCCTGTCGGCACGTGCCCATCTCTAACCGCGACGCCCGGGCGGCAGGGCTGGGGCGGCTGT